TAGTAGTGGTGCCTGTATTAGCACACTGTCAGCTTTAGGGGGAAAAGCAATACTGCTCATCGGATTAATTTCATACTCATACGCCCTGAAAAAGTACTCCCAGGTGAAATATTGATGCACAAAGTCTTCTCGTCTTCTTTTCATAGAAATTATAGCAGCACACGCAAGAACACAAGGCACACCTGTCAAGTCCCATAGCCTGCAAGTACATGTATGGTGTAGAAGATGAACAACAAACCTTTTAGGTCGAAGTGTAACCTTAAATATAACTTCTCCACATGAAATTGTTAGCCATTTAGTAGATTCCATAATGTAAATATTCAACTTCTTTAATTTAGTGTCTCTGGACATATTAAGCCGGTCCTTTTCTTCATTTGTTTCTTTTTTTTCTCATTAACTTCATTGGCTTATATTGTCGATAAGAATATCCACATGATTGTCTCGATATGTTTTTATCACTCCATTGAAGCACTCAATGATGCTACTTTAGAACAAATGACACTTGACATGGTTTTCAAAATGTGCTCTACTCCATCTCTCCACGCTGACTTCACTGAGATATTCCCATGCACTATAATCTTTATCCTTTATCTTATTCATGTATTTTTCAAAGGTAGACATCATAGTGGATTTTGCAGCAAGCCAAAACAGTGACCTATGTTCGTCTTTCCATTTTTTCTGAAAGTTGGTATACATATGGCGTACACAGAAACGGTGATGTGTAGAAGGGTATATTTCTTCTAGTGCGGCCACAAGACCCTATCAATGAAGCGAACTTGTAAGCAATTCTGTAAAATATGTATGTAAGTAATAATAAACGATATAATTAAGTATTTACCTTTCCTTGGTCAGAAATGAATGTCCATCTCTCTCCGTGTATGGATTTTTGTCCAATATCATTCAACAAGTTGTTTAAAAACCATTGCCAAGTTTTTTTAGTCTCAGATGCTACTACTGCATAAGCTATAATGAATAAACCATTGTTTCCATCAAGACTAATTGTAATTGCCAGTTGGAGAGCACACGCTTTTAATGTTGATCAACATTGCCATCAAGTAATTGGAGAGCACACGCTTTTGCTCTATAAGCCTTTGCGATACTATTGTGACGTTATATTTCTTCAATATAAGATCCTTGACTTCCTCACCTGTCATTTTTGCATGTTGTCTAAAGTCTTCAATTAACTTATTGACCAACCATTTAGTACTAGCAAATCTTTCTTTCACTCCTTCCTTTTGACAGTTATGATTAGCTGAGATAAATGTTTTGACCTTGTAAGTTTCTAAATTTCAAACTTTTGAACAATAGATAAGCCATGGGCAACTGCTTACACACCTCACTCGACATCTTATCTTATCTTTCTTCACAAAGTCCAATTTATACATATTTTGGACACCTTAACTTCTCATAGCTTCACAAAAATCATCAATAGATGCAAATGATTGCTCCAACTTAAAGTGGTCCTCCCCTTGGATAGCTTGGATGTGGGCAGAATCTAATTCATCTCCATTACCTGAAGACTCAGATTCATGAATGCTCTTCAATTCTGACAAAGATTGAACTGTGACAGCCTCAGACAAGTCAGACAAGTCACTTGTGTCAATTAACAAATTTTCACCAATTATATCAACTATGGGGGATGAGTAACCAGTTGGTTGGTTATTATCATGACTATGATACTCCCCTTCACTCCATTCATCTAATGCATAGTAGTTTCCTGAAGCCATCTGGAAAAAAACTTTAGGAAAAAAATCAAAGAACTTTTAAACAATAATAGTCAACACTATTTTATGATAAAATTAAATTTGAAAAGTATAAAACAATAAAGTTAGTAACAATCTATATATATACCCCCATGTTAAAAATATAGATGTCCTAGTCATTTTTTATGTTCTGTGATTGATATTATCTCTTATAAGTAATTTTTTCATATAAAAAAACTTTGTTAAAGATGACAAAGTTTTGGAGACAGGCCGCTGCATCGTTTACAGGGGATGTTATACTCACATCATATGATGTTTATATGCTTCTGTACTATGATTTATTTTTGTAAGCCTTAAACTTTATTACAAGTTTGCCTTATGACTTATTGTGAAGTAGATCACTTAACACCATTTCCATGGTTCAATATTTGAATTTTCAGGTTCACTGCTTCTTTAGCACTAATAAATTATTTCACAGTTTGCCTTCCAGTAGACAGTCAAGAAGATATATTTGCCTCTAAGATATAATCTAATTTCAAATAGACAAAATCTATTCTTTAAATCAACTATGTATTTCTCTGTATAATCTAATGTATTCTTCAAATAGACAGTCAAGCAACATGTATTTCTCTTCAACAATATTTTGTTCTATTACTGTCAAGCATATACATATGTGTTGCCTGTTCAGCATCCTTTTCTTTATCACTTTGTGGTAAAAAAATTGAATAACAAGTGTCTCTGTATTATTGTAGAATATATTTATGTCAATTTCTGAATCACAAAACATATGAATTTGGGGTCTGGAGTTGATCTTATTGATTTTGCAGACTTGATAGAAAATATACCTGTAGAGTTAATAGTTGAATTGTAAGAAGAATGGAGTCCTACGGTTAACACTACTATGATTATAATTCAAAATTGGATAGTAAACTTAACTTTCGGGTCTTAAACTGATAAAATTCCAATAAAGTATGATAAAAAAATTCTCAAGGCACACAAAAACAAACGAGGTACATACCTTTGCCAATTAAAGGAGACATTTTCCACCTGGACCTCCGGTTGATCCAAACTCGTAAATTTAAGGGGTCTAACTAAACAGGGAACTAGGTCAGAGAAATCGAGACAAACCCTCTTTGATGGTGGTTCGTCTGAAGTGGCCACGCCCTTTTCGGAGGTTGGGGGGGGGGTCTCACGGACGAGTTCAACAATGAGATCCACCATCTCGGTAAAATGAGGCATCTAGATCTGCAACGACCCTTTCTTAGAAGACCACGCTTCAGACTGAACGAATGAGAGGGACTGTTGGACGAGTAGGAATGGCAATCTAATCCGACCCGTTGGATACCTGCAGCGAACTGAACTTGGTCAAAATGGGGAGAGCCATGTTGCCTGGGTAAGGGGTATGGGGCGCCAGGGCGGGGAATGTCCTGTTTATGTAAATGGGCAATGGAGCATGTACGATTTTATACTTACGCGCTCATTATCCGCCCCGTATTTGCCCCATTTAGTTCGGATACGGTTTCCCGAGCCATTACCCGAGCCGTACTTTTATATTATACTACGTATATTTTAATAGATTATATATTTAATATATAATGTTTATACCTCGTGTATATCATGTAATTTATGTATTTCACTTTTTAGTTATACTTCAGATATACCATATTTAATAAATATATTACCTATTACGGAGTATGCATTACTCCCTTCGTCACCCTATTATTGGAATAGAAGGGAGTGTCACGCCAACCAAGACAAAAGCAACTTTATGATAAAGTAACCAATCAAAAAACAAAAAAGCAATTGTACTAAAGTAGATCCCTATTACTCCCTCATTAAATTTACTTTTTACTTTCCCAATAAGGTACTACCTCCATCCCAAATTGATTTGCAAATTTGACTTTTCTTGGTCAAATAGTTTCTTTTTAATTGCTTAATTAGGACGTCAATTTTTGATTATATTGTAATTTGAAGTTTGCAACTATGATGAGATTTTAATGTAGTTTCTGAATATATAAATTTTATTTATTAAAAATTAAGTTAATTATCGATACAGGGGATTGACTTTTATTATTGGTTGACCAAAAAATGTTGACTTTGCAAAACCATTTGGGAGGAGGGAGTATGGAACAATAATAGTGGGACATCCAAAAATGAAAAAATGGGACAATTATACAGGGGCGGAGGGAGTATGTAATACTGTATTTCATGAAGTATGTAATACTCCTTTTAAGCTATATGAGAGAGTGTTCTTGATTGTTGTAATAATATTTGATTTGATTTGTGGTGCTCCTTGAATTTGATTAAGTGATTCTCCGTTAGTGATACTAGTTTGAAAGAAAAAAAATTAATACGTGGTTACCCATAGAGAATTTCGGAGAATCAGTTTGGTTTTATGCTTGGACGCTCAACAACTGAGGTCATTCACCTTCTTAGACAAGTTGTGGAGAAGTATAAAGACACTAAAAAGGATCTGCATTTGGTTTTCATCGACTTAGAAAAGACATATGATAGGGTACATCGAGAAGTCCTTTTGTGGGCCTTAACTAGAAAAGGCATATCACGTAAATATATTAGTATCATCATGTATATGTATGAGGCTTGTACTACGAGTGTCTGTTCTAGGGTAGGGAGGAACGCAGAGTTCCCTATTACTATCGGAGTGCATTAAGGATCAGCTCTAAGTCCTTTCTTATTTGCTATAGTCATGGATGAACTTACGAAGTCAATTCAAGAAGATATACCGTGGTGCATGATGTTTGTCGACGATATTGTATGAATTGATGAGACACAATCGGGTGTTAAAGCAAAGTTGGAAGTATGGCGAGAAACATTGGAGACCAAGGGTTTCAGACTGAGCCGAAGCAAGACTGAGTATATGGAGTTCAAGTTTGGTGGAGGTAGAAGTAGTAGCAACAGTGGGATTACTCTTGATGGTAAGGAAATACCGATGTGTTATATATTTCGTTACTTGGGCTCCATAATTCAGAAGGATTTCTATGCTATCGAGGTATGCCAACTAGACTGAAAGGTAAATTTTATCAAACATCAATTAGACAAGTATGGCGTAGAGTGTTGGGCGGTGAAACAATGTCGCATTCAAAAGATGAGTGTGGCAGAGATGCATATGTTGCGTTGGATGTGTGGACATACTAGAAAAGACCGTTTGGGGAATGAGATAATCAGACAAAAGGTGGGAGTAACACCTAGAGAAGATAAGATGCAGGAGTCTTGTTTGCGGTGGTTTGGGCATGTGCGTAGAAGACCGAGTGTTGCACCTATTAGATGACTTGAGGGGTGGGGATAGAAGAGACAGGGAGGGGAAGACCCAAATAGGCGTGGATTAGATGAATCAAAACTAATATGCGAATTCTTGGGTGGATGAGAGTATGGCTTTAGAGAGGGCAAAGTAGAGGGCGCGCATTCGTGTGGACGAGTGATCTTTTTTCTATTTTTCCTCTCTCTTTTTTCTTTTATCGCTTATCTTTTTTGTCTTTTCATGTTCTTATGTTATTTTTATCTTCTAGCTTTTTTATGTTCTTTTATCTTTTAATCTTTTATCTTTCTTATATTCTTATGTTATTGTTATCTTATATTTATTTATCTTTAACTTATTCGTTTTATCCTTTTTTTCTTCTTGTCTGTCTTATCTTTTTGGCATTGATATCATGGATTGATTCATGTTTGTCACGCCCCAGACCGCAATCCAAGCGCGTGTACAACCGCCGTATAATTAAGTGACGTCACCCGCGAGTCAACCTCACTTAATTACACAAGGCGTTTGAGAAAACAATCCATCCATGCTCAGTAGTAAACATACATAACAACATCACATTTAAACCATTGAATAGCGGAAATATTCAACGGTAAGTCATAAGCCACAACCGGCCAACAACATGGGCATGCAAGCCCCAAAAATAGTTTATAGTAGAACAAATATCCATGAGCAAGTGTTCGGTAGTTTGAAAGAAAATAAGGAAGCACGAACCACGTCTTCCTGATTTGATACCACCCGTGAGAAGGTGCAAGTAGCAAGCCCTAGCTTCAACCTGAAAATGGTGGGGCCCCCCGAAGGGGTCAGTACAAGTACCGAGCGAGTAGCAGGCTAAATATAGAATAACTAACGTTTCAAGTATAAGACCCAAACATAGGGTGATACTTAAATAGATAGTCTTTCCCCCAAGTTATGAAATATTTATTAGTATAAATATATACTTGGAAAATATCCGATCCGTAGATCACCATTTTATTTGGGAAAAATAGTAATAGTCAATATTCTTGACTAAAAACCCCAACCCACCCATATACCAATGAGTGTATAGGACTCCTCCTTGTCCCTATTCCAATATCATAATCTACGAGTTTTGAGGATCATAATCCCTGGGGTACTCCACCGGTTTGTGAGTGTTAAGGACTCATAAGTCCTAGGGTCCTCCACCAAGTTTGAGTGTTAAGTACTTTTAAGTACTAGGGTCCTCCACCAAGTTTGAGTGTTAAGTACTTTTAAGTACTAGGGTCCTCCACCAAGTTTGAGTGTTAAGTACTTTTAAGTACTAGGGTCCTCCACCAAGTTGAGTGTTAAGTACTTTTAAGTACTAGGGTCCTCCACCAAGTTTGAGTGTTAAGTACTTTTAAGTACTAGGGTCCTCCACCAAGTTTGAGTGTTAAGTACTTTTAAGTACTAGGGTCCTCCACCAATTTATAATCCGAGTGTTAAGGACTTTAAGTCCTAGGGTCCTCCACCAAATTTTGAGTGTTAAGTACTTTTAAGTACTAGGGTCCTCCACCAATATATTTGCCTATGATCAACCTTCTATCAACCTAGATAGAGTCTATATCATACTTAGTTCCTCATAACTAATCCAATACATCAAGCTTATGTATCACAATCCATGCAAAGCCATGCAATTATATAAATACATAATTAACTAATACCAACCGATATTAATTAATTCATTATCCATCGGTCAACGTTGTCGTTGGCCGCCATTACAAGTCTTATACTTATCAACTTAACCATCATGTAATTAAGTTAATAATATTCATTTGTGCATCTTATACATTTCAAACAAATATGTATTTTATAAAATCCTTCATATCATATTCCATGCACAAACAATTTATTTCTTTCATACAATCTTAACCCTATTGGCTAATCACATGTTTAAATATCTTTTAAACATTATTATGAACTCATATAACATTTATTTAGGTAATCTCATAATTAACCCAAAAGTTATAAGATATTAAGCCGTCCACTCACCTTGAATTAGCGTTATGAAGTTCTACCCTTCTTGGTTGAACTCCGGTGAAACTCCGGCGACAACTCCGGCGACTTTTCCAACTTTGTGAAATCACTTGAAATACCTTTCACAAGTTCCTAACAAGGTTTTATAATCATAAAACCCATATTAATGCAAATAACCTCAAAACGGTTATTTTCCGGTGAACCGGTCGTTTTGGCTTCTAAGTCCGTTCTTGGACATAGAATCTCTTTCCAACCCATTAATCCATACTTATAACATGTAGAACCCTCTTAAGGATTCTTCACATGATATATATCTCATATGGTAGAAGAAAAATAAAGAAAAAGTTATAATAAGGTCATTACCTTAATTATTTCACACTTTTAGCACTTTAGCTCTTTTTTGGGTGATTCTTCTTTGATGAGCTCTCTTCAACAATGGAGGAAGGAGGTTGGGTGGTTCTTTGCTCTTCCTGGGTTCTCTTGGCCGAAAATGAGGGTGGGAGAGGGGTGAGGCTTACCCATTTGTCTCATTGAACAAATGAGTGTGGATGGGGGCCACCTCATTTTTGTTTGATGCCATAAAGATCATATCAAAGCCTCCTCCCATGCTTCTCTTCTCTTACCAGCCGGCCAACCCCTCCAATTTGAGTGGCAAAAACGTGGGTTGGCCCCCACTCATGTGGGAGGTCAACCCTTTTTGTCCCGAAGTGTACAATCGGTCCCGAAAGTTGTATTTTTTGGACTGTTTTAAATATATTTTATTTTATCAGGTCCAATAAAATATATTATGTGCTCTTACTCATTATGACATGTATAATGAATATACATTCCCCAACTTTAATTTATAAGCCTCCGAAATTCAGTTCGGGCTGTTATCCGTTAAATTACCAGTACCGGTAATTTGGGCCTCTTTTGACCGATCGGTCAACTCTGGGCCTTTCCATGGCCCAAATGAAATATCCACCAATATATATTTATTATCTAGACCAAGATGAATAAAATATATGGTCTCGGGAATGTCGGGCAGCCCCCACACTCGGTGTGGGTCCCACGTGCAATTTACTATTCACGCGAAAGAAGTAGTAAAAATTTACAACTTCGTAAATTCATTAACCCTTTAATAAGGTTCAATACATTATTTACATAAAAGTAAATATATTTGGGGACGGTGTTACAAGTTCACCCCCCCTTATTTGGGATTTCGTCCCCGAAATCCAAGTATCTAATCGAAAAGAAATGGGTATTGCTCCCTCATTGAGACCTCGGTCTCCCAAGTTTCTTCTTCGACTCGATCACTCCTCCAAAGGACCTTTACCATAGGAATCTCCTTATTCCTAAGCTTCTTCACTTGTTGACCAACAATCTTCACTGGTTCCACCGCATATTGCAAATCCCCACGGATCTCTACTGGCGGTTTCTCAAGAATATGAGAGGGATCCCGTATGTACTTCTTGAGCATTGATACATGAAACACATCATGTATCTTCTCAAGTTCCGGCGTTAACTTGAGACGATAAGCCACGGCTCCAATCCTTTCAAGGATCTCAAATGGACCAATGTATCGGGGGTTAAGCTTTCCCCTCGATACAAATCGAATGATGCCCTTCCAAGGAGAAATCCTTAGGAAGACCTCGTCACCGACTTCGAACTCCAACGGTCTCCGCCGTTTATCAGCATAACTCTTCTGTCGGTCCTGAGCAGCCTTCAATCTATCCCGAATGATCCTTACCTTGGCCTTGGTGATCTCAACCAGCTCTATCCCTTCGAGTTTGGCCTCGCCAACCTCGTCCCAACACAACGGTGTTCTGCATTTCCTCCCATACAATGCCTCATATGGAGGCATGCCGATACTTGCTTGATAACTGTTGTTATAAGCAAACTCCACTAGGGCCAAATGCTTGTCCCAACTTCCTTGGAACTCCAAAGCACATGCCCTAAGCATGTCTTCCAAAATCTGTATCACCCGCTCGGACTGTCCATCCGTCTGTGGGTGAAAAGCTGTGCTAAACTTCAGTTTGGTACCCAGCGATGCCTGAAACTTTGGCCAAAATCGGGATGTGAATCGTGGATCCCTATCCGAGACAATGGATATCGGGACTCCATGTAATCTCACAATTTCCTCCGTGTAGAGCTTGGCCAATCTTTCAAGAGGATAAGTAATGTTGATAGGCAAAAAGTGTGCACTCTTGGTGAGCCTATCAACCACTACCCAAACTGCATCATAGTTGTTCACTGTTCGTGGTAGCCCCACCACGAAGTCCATGGTCACGTGCTCCCACTTCCACTCTGGGATGGTGAGTGGCTGCAAAAGCCCTGCCGGGTGCTGATGTTCTGCCTTAACTTGCTGGCAAGTAAGGCATCGACTCACATACTCTGCGATGTCCCTCTTCATACCTGACCACCAGTAACTTTCCTTCAAATCTCGGTACATCTTAGTACCTCCTGGATGCATAGCATAAGCTGAAGAATGAGCCTCCTCAAGTATAGACCTCTGGAGTTCCTCATTCTTTGGTATGCATACACGATCCTTAAACAATAATAGACCGTCATCACGTATTCGGAAGTTCTCAACGGGTCCTTCCAGGATTCTTTCACGGATTTTCTGACATTCCTCATCAATGGCCTGACTTCGACTAATCTCACCCAATAGGGTGGGCCTAACCTCAAATTGAGCAATGAGAGCCCCACACGTGGACACCTCCACGCGTGCCCTTAATGCCTGCAGACAAGTAAGTAACGTCCCCGACGTACTTTTCCTGCTCAGTGCGTCGGCCACTACGTTGGCCTTTCCGGGATGGTAGTCGATGATCAAGTCATAGTCCTTGATCAACTCCATCCATCTCCTTTGTCTCATATTCAACTCTTTTTGAGTGAATACATACTTCAAGCTCTTATGATCGGTATAAATGTGACATGTCTCCCCGTAGAGATAATGCCTCCAAATTTTTAGTGCAAACACTACCGCCCCCAATTCTAGGTCGTGGGTAGGGTAGTTCACCTCGTGTTTCCTCAATTGCCTAGAAGCATAGGCAATCACCTTACCGTTTTGCATCAGTACACATCCAAGCCCTTGGATGCTAGCATCGCTGTATATATCATACCCTATCCCCTGTATGGGTAGGGCGAGGACTGGTGCTTCGGTAAGTCGTTTCTTCAGTTCAAGGAACCCTTTCTCACACTTGTCGTCCCATATGAACTTGGCCCCTTTCTTTGTGAGCTTCGTTAATGGAGACGCCAATACGGAGAATTTTTCAACAAATTTACGATAGTATCCCGCTAAGCCAAGGAAACTACGTATCTCTTTCACATTCTTGGGTCTCTCCCAATCCATAATAGCTTTTATCTTGGCGTTATCCACAGCTACGCCCGAACCGGATATGACGTGACCGAGAAAACCAATCTCCTTGAGCCAAAATTCGCATTTAGAGAACTTGGCAAAGAGTTGCTTTTCCCTTAGCCGATCAAGTATAAGCCCCAAATGATGCTCGTGCTCCTCCTCACTCTTGGAGTATATCAAGATATCATCAATGAATACTATCACAAATTGATCTAAGTATTCACTAAACACCCGGTTCATCAAGTCCATGAATGCTGCCGGTGCGTTGGTTAAACCAAACGACATCACAAGGAACTCGTAATGACCATACCTAGTGCGGAATGCACTCTTAGGTATGTCGCTCTCCTTGATCTTCAACTGATGATACCCCGACCTCAAATCAATCTTCGAGAACACTATTGCCCCCCGAAGTTGATCAAACAAGTCATCAATCCTCGGTAAGGGATACCTGTTCTTGATTGTGACCTTGTTCAATTGTCGGTAGTCAATACACATTCTTAGTGTACCATCCTTCTTCTTCACGAAGAGTACGGGTGCCCCCCACGGTGAATGGCTGGGTCTGATGAATCCGTTGTCCAATAATTCTTGCAGTTGGACCTTCAACTCTTGAAGTTCGGCCGGTGCCATTCGATAAGGAGGAATCGAAATGGGTTTGGTTCCCGGCTCCACTTCAATTACAAACTCTATCTCTCTATCGGGTGGAAGCCCCGGTAGGTCTTTGGGGAAGACATCCGGGTACTTGCACACGACCCGTACATCTTTGATGTCGACTTCCTTCTTGGTATCGTCCACCACGTAGGCAAGGTACGCGTGGCATCCCTTTCTCATCATCTTCCGTGCTCTCATCACGGATATGATACAAGCATTAGATTTCCCCCGATCTCCCTCAAAGCATAGCGTGTTCCCTTGATCATCCTCGAGCTCCAACACTTTGGTGTAGCAATCTACTCGGGCATGGTGTTTCTCGAGCCAATCCATTCCTAGGATTGCATCGAACTCCAACATGCTTAGAGGTACGAAATCACAAGTCAAAGGTTGACCCGTCACTTCTACCTCACACGACGGATAGTAATGATTTCTCTCCACGTCGTCTCCTAACGGTGTGGAGACTAGCAACGTTTGAGTCATAGGTGTCAATGGCACGTCAAGGCCCTCGGCGAACGCCTCACTCACAAATGAGCGTTGTGCCCCGGTATCAATGAGGATCCTCGCACACCTACCATTGATCTTTAATGTTCCTACATTTATACACATGTAAGATACATTTTCTAATGTTTTAACACATCTTTAGGAGGTTATTAGGCTCATACTAATGTTTGGAATCAAACGGGGGTCCAAACGTAGAAGAACGGGGCGAAAAAAATCAAGTTTCGGGTGTTGGGGGTCCACGCACGGCGTGCCTGGGTGGCACGCACGGTCGTGCGTGCTTGAAAAATCCGGAATCCGCCACTGCCGGCTACGCACGATCGTGCGTAGCTGGTCACGCACGATCGTGCGTCCACGCACGGCGTGCCTTACCTGCACGCACGGCGTGCGTCTGCGCGGAAATTGGCCAGAGGCTGCTGCCTCGCACGCACGGTCGTGCGTCTGTAGGTACGCGCGATCGCGCGTAGTTGTTTTTAGCCCGTTTCGCCCCGAATTCGCGGGGTTTGACCCCGGGGTGGCCCGCACCCAAACCCAATGACTCGTATGACCCAAATAAGCCTAGAAATACAGGAAAATAAGTGTATTACCTGCAACGGAGTCCGGGTTTGCTCGTGCATCAGCCTCGGTCATTGCGTACACTCGTGCTTGGGTCCCGCCTTGATTTACGGACGCGGCATGACTTGTGGACGCGCCGCCTCTTCCCGTACCGCCGTTTGACGGGCCCGCACGGTTTCTCCCCGTCATGGTTCCTCCTCCGGATCCCGGAGCTCCTCCTCCCCCCAATTGTGGGCAATTGGCCTTCATGTGGCCCGTGTTCCCACACCGATAACACCTCGGGGGTGCGTTGCACTTCCCGAAGTGATTCTTTGAGCAGTTGGCACACTTAGGAGGCCCCGTATTTTGAGAGGAGGATGCGTGCCACCGAGCATCCTTGTTCTTCTTCGCCGGTGGTGCCGGCGTCTTGAACGTACTACCACCCCCACCGTGGTGATTCTTCCGTGCTTGCTCGGGCGGCCCCGAATTATGCCATTTTCTCTTTTTCGCCTCCTCGGCGTCTCTTTCTTTCCTCTCATTCCATTGAGCCTCCCCAAGAAGGCCCTGCTCCACTACCTCGCTAAAGGTCATGTGGCGCGAGTACGTAGCCCGATCACGGATGTCCAAGAGTAAGGCATCCCAAAAGTGCTCCGACATGCGGTCCTCATTGATCGCGTACTCCGGCAAGAACCTAGCCAAGGTTCTAAAATCTTGCTCCAGTTGTTTAACAGACACACCCTCCTTCTGTTTGAGGTTGGTGTACTCCCTACGCTTGACATTTTTCTCATAGTCAGTGTAGTATTGGTCATAAAACTCCTGCTCAAAGTTCAACCATGAGACCTCCCCATGGTATTTTCCTTCCACACTCTCCCACCACGTGGAAGCTATCCCCTCAAGCAGCCGTGAAGCAACAGTCAACTTCACGTCCGGTGAAATTTGCATGTCCTTTGCCGCATCCTTCACCTTCTTTATCCAATCGGCGGCAACGGTAATGTCACCGGTGCCGTCAAAGGACTTACACCCCAAGGCCCTAGCCTCCTTGAGGTACTTGGAGATTCTCACACAAAAGCCTCCTTCACGCCCATCATGTGGCGCCACGGGAGTGGCTCTTGAAGCTCCCCGGCTTCCTTGACGCGAACCACCGCGAGAGCCACGCCTTGCTTGGCGCCTAAGGTCTCTCCTCAGTTTTTCTTTTTGATACCACTCAAGCAATTCGCCCATTTGGGCGAACTTGGCATCACTCTCTTCATCATCATCATCGGTGTATGTGTCACCCCCATCATATGGGGTCTCCTCATGCTCCGTTTCAGGAACATAGGTTGAGTCATAGTCCTCGGTGTTGGTTTCATACACCGAGCTTACATGGCCATCACTCACAGTTTGAGCTTGATGACCTCCACGGCTTCCACGGCCTCCACGGCCTCCTCTCGAACCCCGAGATGCAGCCCGGCTTCCCCTTTGGGATGCTACCGGCGCCTGCCCCCTCGGATTGTTCCTGGTCCTCATTCGCCTGTCCTCCCTTTCTGAAAGAAATATGGATGAGTCATTAGACTCCTATAAATGTCAACTGACGGAAGAACGTTACAGACACATATTGGCCCAAGTCACTACCATACCAATTGTTAAGGGTACCGTCTTAACAATTAGAGGCCTTGCAACTTAAGCACCAATAGTCCTATGAACGTCAAAATACAATGCTCATGGTTTTCGGTAAAAACTCTTTTGTAAAATCCTTTGTGAGAGGTTGATTATAATGTTTAGAACTGAGATGGCTCTGATACCACTTAATTGTCACGCCCCAGACCGCAATCCAAGCGCGTGTACAACCGCCGTATAATTAAGTGACGTCACCCGCGAGTCAACCTCACTTAATTACACAAGGCGTTTGAGAAAACAATCCATCCATGCTCAGTAGTAAACATACATAACAACATCACATTTAAACCATTGAATAGCGGAAATATTCAACGGTAAGTCATAAGCCACAACCGGCCAACAACATGGGCATGCAAGCCCCAAAAATAGTTTATAGTAGAACAAATATCCATGAGCAAGTGTTCGGTAGTTTGAAAGAAAATAAGGAAGCACGAACCACGTCTTCCTGATTTGATACCACCCGTGAGAAGGTGCAAGTAGCAAGCCCTAGCTTCAACCTGAAAATGGTGGGGCCCCCCGAAGGGGTCAGTACAAGTACCGAGCGAGTAGCAGGCTAAATATAGAATAACTAACGTTTCAAGTATAAGACCCAAACATAGGGTGATACTTAAATAGATAGTCTTTCCCCCAAGTTATGAAATATTTATTAGTATAAATATATACTTGGAAAATATCCGATCCGTAGATCACCATTTTATTTGGGAAAAATAGTAATAGTCAATATTCTTGACTAAAAACCCCAACCCACCCATATACCAATGAGTGTATAGGACTCCTCCTTGTCCCTATTCCAATATCATAATCTACGAGTTTTGAGGATCATAATCCCTGGGGTACTCCACCGGTTTGTGAGTGTTAAGGACTCATAAGTCCTAGGGTCCTCCACCAAGTTTGAGTGTTAAGTACTTTTAAGTACTAGGGTCCTCCACCAAGTTTGAGTGTTAAGTACTTTTAAGTACTAGGGTCCTCCACCAAGTTTGAGTGTTAAGTACTTTTAAGTACTAGGGTCCTCCACCAAGTTGAGTGTTAAGTACTTTTAAGTACTAGGGTCCTCCACCAAGTTTGAGTGTTAAGTACTTTTAAGTACTAGGGTCCTCCACCAAGTTTGAGTGTTAAGTACTTTTAAGTACTAGGGTCCTCCACCAATTTATAATCCGAGTGTTAAGGACTTTAAGTCCTAGGGTCCTCCACCAAATTTTGAGTGTTAAGTACTTTTAAGTACTAGGGTCCTCCACCAATATATTTGCCTATGATCAACCTTCTATCAACCTAGATAGAGTCTATATCATACTTAGTTCCTCATAACTAATCCAATACATCAAGCTTATGTATCACAATCCATGCAAAGCCATGCAATTATATAAATACATAATTAACTAATACCAACCGATATTAATTAATTCATTATCCATCGGTCAACGTTGTCGTTGGCCGCCATTACAAGTCTTATACTTATCAACTTAACCATCATGTAATTAAGTTAATAATATTCATTTGTGCATCTTATACATTTCAAACAAATATGTATTTTATAAAATCCTTCATATCATATTCCATGCACAAACAATTTATTTCTTTCATACAATCTTAACCCTATTGGCTAATCACATGTTTAAATATCTTTTAAACATTATTATGAACTCATATAACATTTATTTAGGTAATCTCATAATTAACCCAAAAGTTATAAGATATTAAGCCGTCCACTCACCTTGAATT